CTTTAGGCAATCAGGCAATTTGAAGATTCACAAGCGAACCCACACTGGAGAAAATCCTTTCACCTGTGACCAGTGTGGGAAGAGCTTTAGCCGGTTAGGCTTTTTGAAGATTCACCAGAGAATCCACACTGGAGAAAACCCCTACTCCTGTGACCAGTGTGAGAAAAGTTTCAAGGACTCACGCTCATTGCAGCGCCACCAAATATTTCACACTGGAGAAAAGCCTTACACCTGTGACCAGTGTGAGAAGAGCTTTAACCAGTCAGGCGATTTGAAGGTCCACCAGCGAACCCACACTGGAGAAAAGCCTTTCACCTGTGACCAGTGTGGGAAGAACTTTAGCCGGTCAGGCTGTTTGAAGCGCCACCAGACAATCCACACTGGAGAAAAACCCTACTCCTGTGACCAGTGTGAGAAAAGTTTCAAGGACTCACGCTCATTGCAGCGCCACCAGATATTCCACACTGGAGAAAAGCCTTTCACCTGTGATCAGTGTGAGAAGAGCTTTAACCAGTCAGGCTATTTGAAGGTCCATCAGCGAACCCACACTGGAGAAAAACCTTTCACCTGTGACCAGTGTGAGAAGAGCTTTAGGCAGTCAGGCAATTTGAAGGTCCATCAGCGATCCCACACTGGAGAAAATCCTTTCACCTGTGACCAGTGTGAGAAAAGTTTCAAGGACTCACGCTCATTGCAGCGCCATCAGATAATCCACACTGGAGAAAAGCCTTTCACCTGTTACCAGTGTGAGAAAAGTTTCAAGGACTCACGCTCATTGACGCGCCACCAGCGAATCCACTCCTTTGACCAGTGGAAGAAAGAGTTCAGTGACTCATACAGTGTGAAGCTCCACCAGCCTACCCACACTGGAGAAAAACCTGACGTCTGTGCTCCCTGTGAGAAGAGTTTCAGAAAACAAGACCACATGGGAGAACCCCTTCACTAGTGCACTGAGACTGTTCAGAAAGAGTGAGGTGGACTGTTTGACACAACTCGCTGTTAAAAGATGTTGTGTGGATTTTAAAAGTTGTTCAAATGTTCTCAATAATATTCAAAAGATGCACTTAAGTTGTCAACTTGTATTTTTTTCCACAGCAAACACCACACACAAAGCTCACTAAAGAACAAGGCACAACAGTCACTTAAATGTGATAATGTTATACATATGTGGTAATTTAACAACAAGCTAAAGCCTACAGATTTCTAAAAGTGTGCATAGAGCCCTTAGTCTCATATAAGCTGGATAGAGCGTCACTTTGAACCATAAACTATTCCCGTTGCTGACTGTACTCATTCAGGCCATTTTACCATCAGAAAGAGGTTCCACAGGGGTCTATCCTTGGTCCATTCATATTTACATTAGATGTTACATAACTTTTTCAGTAGCCAGACTTTCTCCTTCGACCTTTTCTCTGTTGGGGAGGTTTGTAACCCCCAGTTTCCACTGGGTCCGTCTGCGCCGCACTGCGCCGCGGTTTTGGTCCGACCTCCTCTAGCGCCATAACCCACCGGACGCGTCCCAGAAGCGTTTCAGAAGCGTAGCGTCGTGCGTGCAGGCTCGCAGTTTTGTTATTGATTCGGCATCCTGGACATTTGTACTTCTACAAGAAAGTAAGTAGGCTACGTAGTTAAATGTTATATTTTTGTGTCTGTTTAAATTGTGTTTATTGTTGTTATACATTTCCTAATATGTAGTTGTTACCTTCCACTCCACAAACTGCAGCGACTAAAACCAGGCCTTGTCCTTTCTGATGTTGTCCTTGTAGTAAGCATTGGTTACATCATAAAATAGTGTGTTTTTTCCACTTCCATGATGAAAACCTCGTCGTCCATTGTGCATATCGTAGTGGAGGTGTTGTGATGAAGGAGGGGGGTCTGCTAAATTAGTATATGTGGGAGATGGGCCTGGCCCGGATGCTCACCTTTCCACTTCCTGCGAGGGGGGGCTGCCTGCCCGACCTTAAGTTACGGCTGCGCCGCGGCAAAAATAGGATTCATCCTAATTTTAGAGAAGCGCTGCACCGAGCCGCTTCTGGGAAACGTCTGAGCCGTAACGCAGCGCGTGTGGTGGAATAGCACCCATTGACTAGAGTGGCCGCGATCCATACGACCGCCGCGGCGCAGCCGTAACACGGCGCGGCGCAGACGGACCTGGTGAAAACTGGGGTTAGGCTCTAAAGGGCCTAGACCCCAATAAATCAGCAGGCGATCTCCCCCCTTGTTTCTTACGTCTAGCTGCAGATATTATAGCCCAACCAGTGTGTCATATTTTTAATCTTTCTATAACAAACAATGTCATTCCAGATGTTTGGAAAACTGCAAATGTTCTCCCCTTATTGAAAGGTGTTGATCCCATGGTGAATAATTACAGACCAATTTCCAAACTCTCCATTTTAGCTAAAGTACTTGAAAGGCTGGTGAATGATCAAATCAAAGAATATTTAAGCTTGAACAACATTATATCTCCTCACCAGTCAGGCTTTAGGAAGCAGCACAGTACAGTAACGGCTGCTTTGAAAGTAGGGAATGATATTGTTGAAGGCTTGGACGCAAAGAGCTATTGTGCTGCCCTTTTTATAGACTTATCCAAGGCATTTGATACTGTGGAGTGGACCATGGCATTCTATGCCAGAAGTTACCCCATATAGGCCTGTCTGACCAAGCTGTTTTTTGGTTTTCAAACTATCTTTCAAATGGCAAGCAATTTGTACAATTCAGCGGTCTCTACTCAAGCTTTCTTAATGTGCCCAGAGGTGTTCCTCAAGGTTTGGTCTTGGGACCCACCCTTTTTACAATTTATATAAATGATATGCATCAAAATATTGATGCCTCTGTACATCTTTATGCAGATGATACTGATCTATACTGTTGTGCTAGCACTGCTACCCTTGCATTTGAACGTTTGCAGTCTGCTTTTGACACGTTTCAGTCACACCTGTTCCACCTCAGGTTGGTGTTAAATTCAGACGAGAGAAAAGTCATGTTGTTTTCCAAGAAGAAAAAGTTACCAGCTGTTCTTCCCTGCATCATGTCTGCACAGCATAACCATGTTGAAGCTGTTCACACCTACAGAAACTTGACTATTGACTATATATGACTACTAAGATTGATTATCTTTTAAGGAAACTGAAATTCAAACTGGGATTCTTTTTTAGAAACAAGGCCTGCTTGAATTCCCCATTTCTGACCTTAAAGCGTTGGCTTAGCCTCTACAATACATTTTCTCGGAAATTATTGCGATAAACGATAATATTGTCGGCACCGTTGTATGACCATTTTAGACCACTGACATCATGATAATATATAATAATAATTCAAGCACATCCTTTCAAACTGCTAGTCACATCCTCATGTAAATGAGAATTTATCGAGGTCAGAAAAGTTATCGAGTTCATTTTTATTTATCGTTTGATAAGTCAATTAATTGCTTATCGCGACAGGCCTATGCACACAATAACATAGTGGAAACAAACATTTGTTTGACTTTCATTATTGAATGAAACGTTGTGGCCTTTATAGTCTGTGTCCAATATCGTGTATTTGTATATATTGTATATATATCCTATATACAGTGGGGCAAAAAGTATTTAGTCAGCCACCAATTGTGCAAGTTCTCCCACTTAAAAAGATGAGAGAGGCCTGTAATTTTCATCCTAGGTACACTTCCAACTAGTGCTGCGTACCTGGACTCACATTCAGGTTCAGGTCCGGACTCAAGTCCAGAGGTTCAGGTCCAGACTTATAAGTCCGGACCTGAACCCATGGCTTGTGTCAAGTTGTGTGAGTAACTAAAGTGAACTTATTGTGAGCTAATTATCAATTGAAAATAAACTCATAATCAACTCAAATTCAAACTCGTCAGGTTTATTGTGCTCCCTTCCAACTTGTGTCTACATTTCTCTACAAAGTACAAATGTAAAAAAACACTTTTTGCCACTTAGTCTACAAATGACTTATGACAGCAACTACAGTGAACTACTACAAAGTTCAAACATTTATTTCATTTACCAAACTAAAGTAACCAAACAGTCCCTGAGCTGACTGAGCCTAAATCCCTAAAACGTTGCTGAAAGGTAGAGTGTAGAGTAGACTATACGCATTACACTGTTACACACCTACTATACAGTATAGGCTACACTGTAGTGACCGTACAGTCAGAGTGTACTGTACTGTCTGTACACCAGTGATGTTCGGTGAGGTTCATGGCTGGTGAGGCACTGACTCTTTCAGAGTCAGATTTACAATATATATTTTGACCTTAATCGAAATGTTCGGTTATTTTCAAAAGCTTTTTTAGTCTGATGCTTCGATTCATTTTAAACAGACTGTTCAACAAAAGGATACCCCACATCTAAACATTGGATTGTTCTTTCTTAGTAAGATCCCATGTTCATTACAATTTGGTCTTACCTTGACTTGAAGATTAAGTCCATGCTATCCTTCTGGACAAAAATCTCTATTACATTTTTTGTAAAAGTCCTCCTTATCTTCCTGTAGTTTCAAAACAAAAGTCTAGTTTGTTGTTTGCGTCTCTGCGTAGAATAACAGTAGCAACAAGAACCTGTGGGCTCACTTGCGCCCCCTTCAGTGCGGCAGAGGTTGTAGCTGCCTTCCCTGGTGTTTTTTCATTGCCGTTGTATGATGAGACCAGCGAGCCTACATATACGTGAAATAAATTATTTAGAGACTATGGATGGCGAGGATAAATGTAATAAAGGGATCTACAAACATTACATTTGTGACATAAAGTGAGATGGTGCAGGCATGCGCTTAGGGCCCGCTTTCCAGACAGTTTCTGTGGGGTGACGCATTCTGAGGTGAGGCAGAGCTCATCTGTGCTCATCTTCGTAAGAAGCATTTCAAGGTCCTGGAGTGGCCTAGCCAGTCTCCAGATCGCAACCCCATAGAAAATCTTTGGAGGGAGTTGAAAGTCTGTGTTGCCCAGCGACAGCCCCAAAACATCACTGCTCTAGAGGAGATCTGCATGGAGGAATGGGCCAAAATACCAGCAACAGTGTGTGAAAACCTTGTGAAGACTTACAGAAAACGTTTGACCTCTGTCATTGCCAACAAAGGGTATATAGCAAAGTATTGAGATGAACTTTTGTTATTGACCATAATTTGCAAATAAATTGATTTTGTCTCTCATAGTTACCTAGGATGAAAATTACAGGTCTCTCTCATCTTTTTAAGTGGGAGAACTTGCACAATTGGTGGCTTACTAAATACTTTTTTGCCCCACTCTATATGCTAAGGTCCCGCTACTGATACGATAGCAGTCATTTAGTGCGCATATGTGTAATTTAAACCCATGATATCAAAATCTCACTCCAGCCAGGTACCCAAAGTTGGCAACCCTGATTCATATTTGTAATATATAGCTTTACCTCTTTTTAAAGCTGCATTTATTTAAAAAAAATTCACAAACTAAAGCACAATATATATATATATGTAAGAGAATATTTTAATCCAATCCCTTTGTGTCCTCAGCTTTTCTGAGAAACCTCTTAAATTGCAACAGGTCCAGAGGTCCTCTGCCATCCTGTGGGGGAGGGGTTTTCTGCTTCTATGCATTTGCGAGACAAACAGTCCTTTGTTCCGACGTCTGGCAATCATTAAGTAAAAGCGCGGGTTTTCTGGGTTCCTCCCCTTTGGAAGGAGTGTATCGGCGCTATTTCCTCTTTGTCTCCAGAGTTGATTTGCCTTGTGAACTCTCCGGCTGTATTATACTCTTAATAAATATCGACGTTTGACTAAAGCTGCTCCAGTTTCCATCCTTTCTGCACAGAAGTTTCCATCACAAATTTGCGTCACGAACAGAATACCAAAACATCTTCAGAACTGGTAAGTGTAATTTCAAATCTATATTTGGACATTGCCTTACCAGAATCTGTGATTGACGGTATCATAAAATTACCTGTGAAACTGAGCGGCTGCATTTTTTTTTGGTTTCTCTAATCTTTACATTTGGGGGTTTAACCATAACCTGTGGAATCGGTGTCAAATGGGGATTCTGTCCTGGCCGATTTTCCCTGTGATTGCTACTGGGGCATGTGCCTACAAGAGCAAGCACAGCTCATGTAAAAAAACAATAAGAATATTTGGGGCTAATAACCTACGAATATCGATTTTGACCGATTTCCTCTGTGTGTTTCTTGGAATTAAATAACCAGACAATTACACACAGCAAATATTCGGAGAGACCTTAAAGAGAGCATCAGTAAAGTGGACTTCTGCATTAGGAGCAATGTGATGGATTTGTATTGAAACAAATCGCCGAGTTCTGGAGATTTCAGCGGTAAACTGGTTAAATCAACAGCACGCATCGCCTCCAATCTCCCTGTTGCTGCTGCACGGGTGTGTGTGTGATTACACCCCCCACTACGGGGAGCCGCAGGCGAGGATGAAAAACAAGCACATAGTGTCATATTCTTTTCCTCACACCATTGCGGTTTTGGAACTAAACAAAACGGTCTAAAA